CGGCTTGTCCGCTACTAAGGTTAGAAGTGGTGGTCACTTTATTATGAAAGGTGTTCTACCTTTGCCTCCTATGAAGGAACGGGCATTTATAACCATGCCTTCTGCGGGGGCGACACAATCATGATGTCTTATTTTGAATGTTTCTGGAGTAGAAGCATCAGATTGCAACAGGGGGATCAAATACGTGGTCTTCATTTTACAACATGATCAGTGTTAAACCAGAACTTAAATTTATCCTTAGTATTATAGGAACTCAGCTTTAGTAGTACAACTTCAATTTTTGAGTGAAATCGTAAATCCAAGCAGGCCACACCGAGCCACCACAGCCACATATAAAATCAGGTCCGATGCTTTGCTGTACTGAATCGTAGCATTAGTAGAAAATTATATTATCAATACAGCATTTTATTTCAATTAGTAAAACAGAAGTGTGCCTCGCTTGCCTTGGGAAGAGAAAAGTAAACAGTGAGTAGATGAGGAAGAAAACAACTTCGAAATACTACCTGTGTAGGAATAAAAAATGTTCATGTAGGAATGGGAATTTTTCCGAGTAGTAGCTGTACTCATCTGTTCAAGAAAAGAACGGTGAATATTCATATCGAAGTTTCTTTAAGTTTCCGTACACGAGTCCGTAGAAGGTGAATACATTAACTGCTAAAATCTCAAACTCATCAGAATTCAGAACAATGTTCTAATATTTGAAAACATTTAATAAAGAATTAAGTTACAAGCCCAGTTTAGAGCGTTTTATAAACAATATTAGGCATTCAAACGCCACGTGGCTACAATCTGAAGTCAAAACGTAGAATCCGTTAAAGATACAGTGACAGTTAACGAGGTAGGAGACTGTTCGCGATACATATGTAATGTGAATACGCACTAGTTTCTTTTTAAAAGGTATACCATGAAAACATCTCTGCCCCTAGACAGAGAGTTCCCACATGCTTTGCCTAACTCATTCAAATACTTGACCATTTACTTGTATCATTAAGGCGTTTTCGTGGTTTTGCCCATGTGTAACGTGTATACGAGCCAGTTTGCTTAGAAAGTCCTCCACGAATGCATTCCTCCCCTTAGGCAGAGAGCCTTCGAGGATTTGCCACAATCACACACACACTTGTATCATTAAGAAATGGTTAAACAATTACCAAACATTTTATTTAAGCGAAACCAACAAAAACTTAAAATTAATCACTAGAAAAAGGACTCCTTCCAAGGAGAAGTTGAGAATCACACTCTTGTTAGAAGGACATCATAGTCCTGCTCAGTCACTTTTTATTTTACAAAGATTAAAATATTTTTGCGTTAAAAATTTAGCAGAAAAGGTTTGTAGAGGAATTATATATAAAAATTATTGCCTATTTATAAACTTTGAAATAACATAAAATTAGTACGCCCATAATTGCTTCAGTGCTCTTACCATTTCTAAAAGCATCGAAATAATGCCTCTTGGTATCTGTTATATATTTGTCGTCGCGTCGTGTTAGATATAGCTTAAAAATTGACCTGTTGAACGTCTTGACAAGTGTAAAAGAAAGAATGAAGAGTGAGAAATCTGACAAATAAACTATTTGTAGCATGTCGGGGAAATTTTTAATAAAAAGGAAAAGAAGCTTCTGAAAATGTGCTGAAATTGTGAAATTCTGTTGAATAATTGAAAAATATTTTAATTGTACTTTTATTACAACATGAATAACCCTTTGCCAAATAATACGAATGCATACATTCCTTCTATATATAGTAGATTTTTGGTCTGTAGGAGTCAATTTCAATTATTTCAGGTTTCATATAATTGGTGTAAAATTTCCTCGAGCATTTTTTTGAACAAAAATTTCGAACGTTACCAGTTTTTAGTCCAAAGGGATTTGAATCCCGAAGGACTATTAGTTTCGTTTTGGCATTTTGCGTCGGACTCATAAATGTCGGTTCACTTTTCAAACAGTTGCCACAAAATGTTAGAGTCCTGCATTATATTTGAAGAAATTAAATAATGAAAAATCTGCATAAATGTATGTATATTTCTCGTATTGTGATAAAACAACGGTACATAGAGTCATCGAATTTTGAATAACGTAATCCTCCAACGAATATGAGCATGTGGAAAGACCAAATTGGAAATTTGAAATTTGTTTTATGATCGATTTCCTATTTTTTAAAAACTTTGACGAATTTTTTGATTAACAAACTCAAGGATTTCAAAGCGAGCAATGGCAACGTTGTGCAGAAAAACATTTTTATCTCCAGCGCGTGGGTCTCTGTATCGGAAATTCTAAAGATATGATCGTTTTAAAACTATTTTGCGATATTGCTGTTGCACTGGATCTTATGGTTTAAGTGCGAGGAACATGATATTTAATAAAGAAAGGTACACACAAAATGTTAAAAAACGCCCCTTTGGACGTAATTTAAAATCTGAAACATTTCAGATTTTTTTTTTTTTTTTTTTTTTTTTTTTTTTTTTTTTTTTTAATTTTTTTATCAGTTCCGATTAGGAAAGTCTCATTGTTGCTGTTAATGAAAAATTACTGAAAAGCGAACTTGATGTTATGAAATATATTATAGAAAAGTGTTTTAAATGTCATAATTTGCTTCTATATATATATACTTTTTCTGTTTATTATTAACTATATGCAACAGAAATTGATTACGAAACGTTTGTAAAACTGAATTTTAGTATTTGTTGTGAATTACTGAATGAATATAGTCATTTAAAACAGATTCTAATTTAGATTTTAATTTAAATATAATTGCTTAAATTGGAACTGTTGTTAGGTTATAGAAACGAGTGTCGATTGGCTCCTTTAAACACCTGCCACTGTCCCTTAAGCCGAGAGGAGAAAATGGTGTTCATAGAGGGAGGAAGAGGAATAAAAAGAAGAAAATCCGCCTCGCCCCAATCCGCACGAAACAGCCACTTTAGTACGTAATCCACATTAAACACGAAAGGCAAGAAAAGGCGGGCAGGATGAATGGTTCCAAGCAAAAAACTCGACTTTTCTGTCAAAAAAAGATGAAAAACCTCCCTGATATTTGTGGAGAGAAAACATTGTCGTATTTAAATTTTATCGGTCGTTCTATGTGTAAGAATGTCGAGATAGATATTGGTAAATTTTGAAGCTTTTGATGAATCATTCTTTGGCTCCATCACCTAAATAAGAATATTAATCAAGCTAATCAGATGCATCACATATCAGGGAGAAATGACATTTTAAAAATATTTGTAAATTTTATTCCGTTCTGAGACACGATAAATCTTCATATGTTCAGAGAGTGTAATCACTGTTAAAGAACCTGACATACATTTAGGAAATAAAGAAAAAAAAGTTTTAAATTTAGAGAAACAAAAAGAACTGTTAAAGCATTTATTAGAGACTAATATGCTATCACTTACACATACTAAAAATATTCGCAAACTGAAATTTCATTTACGGATTTAGGTATTTATGTAAAAATGTGAGAAATAATCCTTATTTTGGTAAGATAAATTAATTCTAACAATATAATCTATTTACCTAATTTAAGTAAGATGTCGTTTATTTGAAATTCCAGAAATTGTCTTGCTAAGCCCAAACCTGGACAACAAAAATTGTGACAAATTAAGATTTTAGACTCTGAATAAATTAAACACAATAAAACTTTAATACCAACTATCCGGGCTCCGGAAATCCGTAAACGCAATGAATCATATCTCTTAATTTTCTGTCTTGGTGCAAAACTTCAGCAATACCTTTTGAAAACATGTATTCTAACAACATAATCATGTTTTCAAATTTAATAAATGATGCATAATTTTAAACATACTTTTGTACAGAATTTATTTTTTTTTACTGGTTTAAAATAACAGACTTATTAGCAAAGTTGTTTTAGAAAAAATATTTCATAAAAGCATAATTAAACAATAAGTAAATAAAACTACTTTTTTACTTGAATCTTTTCAAAGCTTTCTCTGAATTCTTCCTGCAAAAAAATATTATTCAGTTCTTAAAGTTTTTGATGTTAAGAACTATGATATGTTATAATTTTAAATTTTCACATATATATTTACATATACTATTTTTTGTACGCATCAGAGAAACATTTAATAAATAAAAGAAAGATAATAGATTGTCATTATTTATTCTAAAGTTTATTGCTACTTGGAAAATTTATGTAACTTATTTATTATTAATTTAAAGTAAGATATTTAATGGTTAAATCAAAATATTAGAATCATTTGAAATGAATGTTTAAGTTTGCAAATTTTAATACTTTGCTATTAATATGTCTGAATTACTTATTCTGACTAACAGAAATTTCATGCAGATACCAAGGTTTAGATTTCAGATAGAAAATAAATATAAATTTGCATCATCTTTATTACTGTTTATATATTTTGATAAATGTTTAGCAAATAAAATTTAACATTTAGTTAAAGAAAATTTGTTTTGTTAGAAAACATAAACTTCGTATTTGGGTTGAAAAAAATTTAGCCTGTCTCCAGTTTTGAGTTAGCGCATTCGGTCAACATGTGAATTCGAGACCACTCACCTAAGATATAAAGATTTTAAAGCATTTAAGATTGCAGAGATAGATGGCCCTATTTATTAATAAGGCGTAAAGGGCAAATTTATATCTTCAGAAGCTAGGCAATTGTCAGCTTATGATAGACTGCTACATTATTAAAAAATAACTATAATTTACTCACAAATCGCAAAGGAATAAATGCTGCATAATCACAATATTTGTTATTTTATTTTTATATTGTGATGCAAACAATGCCTCTCATCATTGAAGGTTAGATACAAAATGTACCGTGTGCATGCTTTAAAAAAATATGTCCCTGTAATAAATCTTCAAGTTTAAACCACATTGTCTGAATTGTCTATTTTCTGATTTTTTGTAGGTTTTTAAATGTTTATGAAACACACCATGTATTAAACTTTTTGTCCTTGCAAATACGAAATGCTGATACCAATAATGGACTTGGAATATTATAAATAAAACACTAGTAATATTTTGGATATCATTTATTTATTTATTCTATAGTTACGTATCAGATGCATTTACAAATCATTCATTCATTTCATATAAGTTAGCACTATTTGTTCTTACACAATAAAACAAAAAATGAAACAGTACAGTTTATGCCTTTATTCCCATTATCGCATTGCTTTATCTAAGAATTTACTTTTCAAAGCGTAAATTTAAAATGCATTATTATGCCTACCAGCGGTCGAGCGGTAAAAGCCACTGAACACTGGTAGATCGGTCCGGGGCTCGAATCCCTGCGAACGGCTGGCTGCTTGGGGGTTTCCGTGGTTTTCTTCTTGTATAACGTGGATACGAGCTAGTTTCCCTTAAAACGTTCTCCACGGGACGTCCCTCCCTTTCCGTATAGTGCCGAAGGGAGAAGCACGTAATAAATAAGTAAAAAATACATTATTAGTAATTCTCTAGGAGCAAATAGTACTGCTTGCAAATTATGCTACCGGTACTTAAATGTAAAATTTTTTATTATTAAAAATTACTCATCGAATTATAAGTATTTAAGGATTTTTTTAAATTTTATTTTAAATAAATAAAGTTTAAAATTCACTTTCAGATTAAAATGTGTACTAGGAGATTTATGTGTACTTCAGCTCGGTAAAAGAGTAGAATTTCAATTAAATTCGGAATTAGTTTGAATTAAATTAAAGAATTAAATGAAAGGATATCATGCTTCAGCTGCATGTGCAAGTAACAAAAGACATAGCTTTGTAATATTAGATAAAAAATAAATAAGTATCATAAAATTTATATGAAGTACTTGTAGCAAATAGTTTAAACGTAGGTATAATTATCATGCATGTGGGAAGAAAATGTTGGTTATAAATAAATGTTTTAAATACTTACAATTTAATAGCAGTTTTTGTGCTCTTTATATATATTTTTATAATTTATCTACTTGAGGTTCTATTGCATTTTTCTGTATTATATTATCATATTATGAACTGAAAATTATATTTTGCAATAGGCATCGTATTTTAAATTTGAGTTTAAAGAGTATGCTTATTTGACACAAAAGAAGTTCGAGATACACATGCAGCAGTTCAAATTACATCACACATTTAGCCAAACAATTCAAAATTCAATAAAATTTTAATTTTTCGAGTAAAAATTCCGGATCCAATATATGTTATTCAAAGTAATTGTTTCGTTACTACATTTTGAAATTAAGATTAATTAAACTAATACACTATTAAAATTATATAAAAAATCAGATTTTGCAAAAATATTAGTAATTATGAACTTAAAGGACTTTCAATTGAGGATTTCGAATATGAATTTGGCTTTAAATATCAGTAGTAGTAATCATTATGTGTTTACTTACGACAGTACGTAAAGCAATGAATTTGTGAAAATCTAATGAATCTGGTGTACATTAAAAATTTTTAATAAATAGCATTATTAGCACAAAAACTGTGTAATAAAATTGCAATTTATTTTTTTAAAAGATACTGCAATGCGATAATGTAAAAATAACTGTGCGCTTTAAAGAAATTCAATAAGACTGTAAGGTATAATATACGCGTATCTATTATATTTAGTTAATATATTTCTCAGAATTACTTGCAACTGTTTTCAGGTGCATATGAAATGCAATAAAGATTTCAGAAATTATATATATATACATATATATATCAGAAAAATCATTAGTTTTTCAGAATCGTAATTTTTAATTTCACTTGTGATTAGAGCATTTTTCAGTTCTGTTTCGAAGAAGAAAGGCAAATAACAGTACAAATCTTCTATTTAGATTTGTTAATAGAGATGTTAGTTCTGTTCTTTAGTAACATAATCTTTAAAAAGTAAATAGAAAGAAATCCCCTTCTTTCTGAAATAATTCTTAAAAAAAAAATCTCTATAAAATGAGTGTCTAATTTTACATCAGATCTGAATTATTTATTTACAAAAATCTTTACTGCAAATTAACATTTGTACTTTGAATAATTTTTAAAGATAATAAATTATTACTTCATTTCCTGCAACTCAATATTCACTCTAATAGGGTCTACTAAGGAAAGTGATGATACGATGATTATAATTAAAAGTGACAAATATTAGTTTTGTATTTAGAAATGAAATAAGCATTCATTAGTAGCAATAGCTTCTCAGTACTACGCCCTGTTCCAGTAGAAGACTAGACTGAAATTTCAGTATCTTTTCAAAATAAGTGTAGGATTGTTATTAATTTCTATAATAATTTTTTAAGAAATCAATTCAAATACTTCAACTTATAAAGCAGAAGTCAGAAATAATTCAAACATTTTTGCATACATCATAATTAATTCACAGTGCATTCAATGTCAAGTAATTTAAATTACTCATACTGCAATGATAACTAAATCTAAATACGATTTGAAATCATCAAATTCATAATGTTCCATTTCTATGAGATTTGTATACACTTTTCAGGGGAACAGAAAGAAAGTGACAAAATTATTAAAGTTATATGCACATGTATATACAATTTTCAACAATCTCGTTTTATGTCTTTCCGTTGTAGGAATGCAGGGAAGAGAATGAAGAATACATCTTCCCAAATGTTTAAGTCTATGGAATACCTACGTAGGTATACATAGGATATGTTTCTTTGTCTTTTTAGTTACTGCGACCTAGCGTTTTCCTTAAACTACTCTACGCTAGGATTTTGTTCGCACCATCCACATTTTTAACAATTCTGTAGAGAGCAGGTAATGAAATGTTTTGATTGCCTGACTTAAAACCTCGAAGCCAACATAGACGATTGTGTTGCAGAGCTCGAACTGAGTAGAGGTGATGTTCCAGGCTTGTAGTAGCATGTCCCACAGAACGAGGGACACACACCGGAATTAGAAGTGGGCGGAGCATACAAGGAGCCCAAAGAATTAGCCAACGCCATGCACCTGCGAATAGAAAATTTCAGCATTACATGATAATTCACTTGAATAAAATTTATAATATCCATGTGTAAAGGAGCATATTAATGATTTATAGAAATCTGAAAACAGTAAAACAGAAACTAAAAAAGAAATAAACAAACAAATAAAATTTTATATAATAATAATTTTACCCTAAATTTTGCCTGAAATCTATGCATTTATACAAAAAAAGACCAACAATATACTTACCAGTTAGTAATTTCAAAAACCAAACTACACTGCTGGCCATTAAAATTGCAACACCAGGAAGGAATGATCTGACGAACGTTAAAAATCACATGAAAGGAAGAAGAGATTAGGATATGCGAATGATTAGTATTTCAGCGCATTTAGACGACGCAGGAGGGAGAAACGACGTCTGAAGCACTGCGTAAAAGAAAAGTTGTGTAGTGGATTTCTCATTCGGAAAGCGCTTTGTAAGGTCGCAGTTTTCTCAGAATATCGTGCTATGCCTCGAATAATAAGAAGAAATGCTTACCAGCAAATGTCGGAATTCGATAGAGGTTTGGATCGTCGCCTATCGAGAGTTTGGATTATCGTTCCGTGATATCGTCCGTCGAGCTGGTCGACATCTAACCACTGTCATGCGAATATGGAATCAATGGATTGCTCAGGGTCATACTGAACGGCATGAAGGGCCTCTACGCCCTCCCATGACTTACACTCGAGGGGGCAGACATATTGGGAGGTCAGACAAAACCATACAACCGTATCATGAACCATTAGTCAGGAAATCGGGTATGTGTGCAGCACGCCCAGTATCTGCTCGTACGGTGCGTTGATGTTTACAGCAGCGTTGACTATTAGCACGGCGACCATTACTTCGGCTTCATTTGACAATGTAGCACAGAGAGAGACGGCAACTCTGGTGCGTCCAAAGACAAAGCTTAATACAGGAGTGACACAACGTCGTCTTTTCATACGCGTCGCGGTTCTGCGTGCAGTATTCTGCTTGTCTTATACGTGTCTAGAGGTTCCGAGGAGACTGCATGTCGCCTGCTTGCATTCTATATTGGCATAGGGACCCTGCACCTGGTGTGATCGTTTGGGCAGCATGACACGTACATCTCTTGTTTGGATCGACGGCAATTTGAACGCAGATCGGTATATTTCTGACATCTTACGCCCAGTATAGTTGTGCCCTATCTTCGAGACCTGCTTAAGACCGTCTTCCAACAAGAAAATGCAATACCACATGTTGCACTTCGTGTTCTGACCTTCCTCGATACACAGGATATTCAACTGCTGCCCTGGCCCGCACGATCTCCAGATCTGTCACCCATTGAAAATATCTGTTCATGGGTTGGGGAGAGACTGGCCCGCTAAACCTCTCCAGCAACTATGTTTGATGAAGTGTGGCATAAACTTGATGGGAGTGAGCATGGAATGATCGAGTTGCCTGTTTCTGTCTTCGAAGTCCAGTTCGACTCCATGCCCTACCGGGTAAGGACCGTTTTAGCTGCCAGCGGCGGTATTTGTTTCTATTGATTTCGCACCCCTGTAAACCCCAAAACTGCTTACAAATTTAATCATTTTGTTTTCATGCTATACTGTTTGTGCACAATAAATACATTTTCTGTATTAGCTTTCCTTCATGGTGTTGCAATTTTAATGGACAGCAGTGTAATAGCTAAAATATTAAACCAATTAATTTGGTCAACTTGATTTGCTTGACTTAGGATTGTGGATTTCTTTTCTAAACCAAATGTCATAAAGTAAATTTATAAGCTATTTCTCCCGCCTTCAAGCATGCCTTCGTGGTGTGGTGGTCTGCACCCTGGGCGCGTATTACAGAGGTCCTTGGTTCGATTCCCTGCGAAGGCGTTGCTAATTTTCAATCTCTCTTGCTTCCAAAAAATCCTAATAGCTCTACAGTGGCGCCCGAACTAAAAGAGGTGGTGGATGATGATTTTGCACACCCAGGATTTGGCAGTTGTGTCCCCTAAAAACACCAGTCGCCCTTGAAACGGGGGAGTATATAAGGTATTTCTCCCGCCTTCTCGGCATGATTTCGTGATGTCGTGGTCTGCACGCTGGGCGCGTATTCCAAAGGTCCGCGGTTGGATTCCCGGCGAAGGCGTTGCTAAATTTTCATCTTTCCTGTTTCCAAAAATACCTAGTATCTCTACAAATTAACTTTTTATTACTATAAACTATTTATCGAAACTTTTTGACAAGGACATACTCATAGACCGAGAACAGTATTGATCATGTGTCTAAATGTAGGTAAAAAATTCTTAATCTAAGGTTAAACAGTCAAAGTTAATGAATTTAATAATTAAAAAACACGCATAAATACTCTGAGTTGTCATTTTCGAAATAAACGTGACCGAATATTATGACTTCCAAAGATGAAATTAAATATTTTCATGCTGTTTATACATTTATATATTATATATACTACCAGCTGTCCACCAGCGTCTGAATGATGAAATCGCTCAACAGCGATAGTTCGGCCCGGGTTGAAATCCCAGTAAACAGTTTGGCTGCATGGTAGTTTCGTGGTTTTCGCAAAATGGAAGGTGGAGTTTCCCTCCAGCCACCTACGAGGCAGTTTCCCTTAGAAATTCCTCTCTGAAAGCATCCATCGCTTTAGGTAGATAGGCCTCGCGTGCATAACCGTAACTAAAATATTCTAATTTTTGTCAGCTGGGCAGGCAAGAAGAAAATATGGGGAATGAGGCTATTCATCACCGCCGTTTCGCCGTCGCCGCTTCATCATCATGCATTTCCCTTTTGGACCAGTTTCCCGTCGGGCCAATTCGCCGTCGAGACTTACTTTTCTTTACATGTCTATATTATACCTATTTTTTTACCTCTTAGCATCTTAATTAAAAAACTTTTGTTATATAACACATCTTTTAGAATTACTAAAATATACCAAAGTTCATTAATCATCTGCGATATTTAGTTAAATTCAAACCAGTAACTAAAAGCACTCATAGTTAAGATGAAATATAATATTATGAAAATATTTTATAGTTATAAAATAAAGCATGATATTAAAAATGTCACATAAATATAACGCAACATTCATAATAAAAAGGAAATTATTTTGAGATTTCAAAATAAATTGACCAATTTAACGTAAATATTTGAAGACACTTGTCTTAATATACTTTAAAAATATTCGCATTTTATTTTTGATTTTGTATTAAAACTCGATTTTTTTCAAACTTTTAAAAACAAATCGCATGCAGAAATTTGCTCTACCACGAAAGTTATGGTAAAACATCTTTCTAAACTTTTGTCATTTAAAGAACTAGATGGTTTATTAGCATATACATTCAGCAAATTCCTCGTATAAAACGCTCTGAATAATATATAAAATTGTAAACAATTTTATACAAATATATTGCTAAGCCTAACATAAAAGTTAACTTACTAGCATATATATCTATACACTATTTATTAATTTTAAGAGAGAAATATGCTAACAAGATTCCAAAGTAATGACATTTTCATTTGAGATTTCATAAAAATGTAGATTCTTGCTTGAGTCATTTACCTGAACTAGCCGATTAAAACTTAAAAAAATTTGACCAATTGTGTAAACATTACATCTGCATACTTTTAGAAATGCTAATATTACGGAATATCTCAGATGTTTATTCCATAATTATGAAATGTGATAATTTTGTTATATTTGATACTGACATAATTTTCCAGCTAAATCTGTGTAATTTCTTTATATCCTGTATTTGTAAATAAGTAAGTATGTATATTATAAGCAACCTTTATTACGTATTTTATTTCGTACTGTGAAATAGCCTATGGCGAATTGGCTGCCGGCGAACTGACCTGTCAAGAAAGGACGAAGTCCTAGACTAGAAAATACGATACAGATAATTTAGAAATGATATAAATCAATTAAAGAGTTATGTATCAGAACAGCCGAATCAAGCGTTTATTGTAATTACGACACATTTAAAAGTTCTGTAATGAATAATTAAAAAAATCTTTATTTTTTAACTGAAATATCTGTTACTTATTTTTTTCCAATAAAAATGTTGCTGTTGCATATAATACCTGTACCTTTAGCGAGCAAAATTTTACTGTTACAGTAAGAAAGGGAGATCCTTTTCAAACGTTGTCGTCTACAAAAAAAAAAAAAAAAAAAAAAAAAAAAAAAAAATTTTTTTTAGTCCAAAAGGGATATTAGTCTCGAAATGGCATTCTGCGTTGAATCACTATAAATGGCGTATCATTTTTAAATTGCTGCAACCGATTATTATCACCCTGTATTATATTTAAACAAATTAAATAAAGAACAGCCCGCATGAATGTATGCACGTTTCTCGTGTTGCGAAAAAGCAAGCGGTACCTAGAGCCATGAAATTTTGAATAACGCAGTCCTCCCCTGAACATGGGCAACTAGACGCCCAAATTTTGAATTTCGATTTTTTCTTATTTATCTCTTTCGTATTTTGTAAAACTTCAACGAAATTTTGATTAACAAATTCAAAGATTTCAAAGCGAGCAATGGCAACATTGTATGGGGGAAAAAAAAGGTGAAAAAAAATTGTATGGCAACAATTAACTCTGCATCGAGAATTCTAAACGTATACTGTTATTCTTTTCTTAAAATTTTTGTACTTTTGAATTGTATAAGGCATAAGTGCAACGAAAATGGTGCTTAATAATAAAGCTAAAAAGAAAAAAAAATAGGAGGTTAAGAGTGAATGTAACAGAAGACTGGTAAACTACGAGCTCAACTAGAGAGTAAAAGACCTTAACAAACCCCTTTGGGCGACCATTAAAAATCTGAAACATTTAGGTTTTTTTTTTCTTCCCTGAGGTGGTCACTAGCTATTATAGGCGTTGGTCACAAGCAAGGGCGGAAGCGCGCTAGCCACTTTATTATGAGCCACCGTTTAGTCTTATGAGGTGGCAGACAATTTACATCCATGCCTTCTCTGGTATTCGAACTCCCTTCTATACAACAGTCCGTCCTTCTATACAAC